CTTTTTACAATCAGCAATTGTCAATATTTTTATCACAATCATCTGCTTCTTAAAGTTCAAATTTATCAAAATACATAATACAAAATCCACAAATTGAATACATAGAAATGTCATTTATCAAGAGTTGTTTCAAGTTGCAAAAACTGTTTCATTTGTGGATTATCAACTAAAATTATTAATCTCTATTTGACAGCAATCCTTTATAAAGAGCATTTATGCCTCCAGGAAATCATTTCTACCCAGTCATTTAATAAAGATAAGATTGCAATATCTTCAAATATCAATGTACTAGATGGACAGCTGAAGCAGTTAAAGTGTTCACCTATCATTGTCCCAGATATGTTGGTCCCTCTCCTTCACTACCTAGCTTGCTTCAATGCAGACCTGGCCAAACATAATAGGTTTGAAAAAGATATTTTTAGTATCCACAGAGAATAAGGCCTGGAATGCAGATACAATTTTCTGTCACAGGATTGTTAGTCATAAAAATGGGAGGGAAACAGTTTTTAATACAAATGCATATATAAACCACCAAATAATCATAGTGATTAAAAAGATTAAAAATTAAAGATGCAACCTACATACAGTAGATCTGATTGTATTCTTTTAGCCTAAGAATATACCAGCAATTATCTATTGTGTAACAGAAAATTGCATGTGCATTCTTAGGCTAAAAAAAAAAAAAAGACTGAAAAAGTTACAAAAAATTCCACAATAATACAATTTGGTGACAAAATCAAATTTTGGTTATTAATTTAAAAAATTTGTTTTTAATTACCATCCCTATCTTAAAAAAATGTATTAAAAAATATTTTTCATCTCTTGGAAACATTTATAGAAAAAAAATATGGAGACGGTACTGACATATTTTCAAACAGAAAAATGTATTCAAAATTTTATTTATGTTTCTTAAATTTTGATTTTACACCAAAAAATTTAAAATAAATTTTTTCAGATTAAAATGATAATGTAGCTGACACATTTTTAAAAATGTTCATAAAGTGAAAAAAAATTAAACACAAAAAAATTGCATTCTCCTCAGCTTCTATGGGATGAAATGGATTAAAGACTTAAAATTTGCTATATTATGATTTTACACCAAGGAAAATGATATACCATTTAATTCAATTTGGTTTGAAGCATTTTTCACATGCTTATCTGGCTAGGCTCTTTTGGTGTGTTATTTGATATAGAACATAAATGAAATTTTTAATAAACAAATAAAATATTCAATGTTGTTAAATTGAAAAAAATAACTAATATCTTTCATTAATAAACTATCCATAAACTTTCATCTAACAGATAACATTTATGTCATCAGATAAACTTCAAGCAATGTTCAGAATATAGAATATAAAATATACACCATCATTCACAATTGGTATTGCTGGCAATGAGAATTTTTAAACTTTGAGATAGTTTCATAAATGAATGTTATAATTAAATTTAAACTATTCACATATTTACATAAAATCAATTGTATAATTATCATGATGTAGCTATGGTTAAAATTATGAAAAAAACAAAATAAAATCAAGTTTGCAGATATAGTAAAAGAAGCAATAAAATTACATTTATATGTTTACATTACATTAAATACAGTGAAGTTAATATTTTACATATATTAATATATGAACATATTAGTTTACATAATAATATATGTAAATATATAATTTATTCCAAAGTTTGAGAGAAATTTTTAGTTTGATATGAAAAAATTTTGTTTGATTATACATTTAACGTATTGCATATTAAAATATATAGTTATTTTTACTAAGAAACAATGACAAAGTCAATTGCAAAACAATAATAAATTAATACCATTTAGATTTCTAGAATTCCAGACATGTTTCAAATAGTACAGTTTTTATTATATAATTACAAACAAGATTCAAAAAGGACAGAAAACAGCACAGTTCAGCCATTTCACGAATTTTGATCAAGCAACATATAGTATTTGAAAGGGGCTCTATAAGCTTAAAAAAAATTTACTCTAATGATATCTTGAGATAATGTGTATTAAAAAAAATTTCAATCATAAGCATCATTAAACTAATTTTATAACAATATTTCTGTATTCCATAATCTGAGGTACACTCAGTTTACAGTATCTTGGATAATTTGGACTTTACTGTATTTCACTACTTAATTTCTTCTGCGGCAATTTGAAAAAATTGTAGACCATTGCCTTAATCTCGAGAACAGAGTTAGATAGATGAAAGTCATGACCAGATATGAAAAACTTAGGTGCAGGAGACCCCAATTAACTAAATACGAACTTCCAGTACAAATGGAAGTCATGCTATTTCAATTCAAAAATTTTCTCCTGAAAGGAGTTAAGATAGGTGAGTGGCATAACTCAGAAAAAGTATGATGTATAGGGAAAAGCCACTACTAATTTAAAGGTGGAGAACCTGTATTTTAAATTTAAAATATGATTAAAAATTTCTGCCTGGCATTTTGACAATGTCACAATAAATAATTGCTCATTATAATTTATATATTTTACATATGTCATAATTAACACATTATGGATACCATATGATTTACTGTTAATAATAATTTTGCCAAATACAAATTTAACCCTACTGTACTCAAAAAAGTAAACTTTTCATTTGCATTTTATTTGCACAGATGATTAATCTTTTAAGAAATTTTAAATAATTTTATAATCTGATGTAAATTAATAAAAAATGTTTTTATTACTAAATTATTTTGGAATTTCTTCTGAAATTCATTAAAAACTTTGTTTCTGATCTAATCACTAAAGAAAAAAATATGATAGTTGTTTTATATTTGAGAATTATTATTCTTTATCCAAGTCTAATTTTATCATTTAACGTTTTTTTACATTATAATAACTAATAGTAAACTGTATCATTATTAGAAACAGTTTTTAATGTAAGCATATACTAAAACAGCTATCCTGACTAAAATCTTTTTATTATAATAGTATTGTTTTATTTTAGTACAACTGCACATTCTATCAGATATGTAAATTTTAATTCTAAATCTAAAACTTAGTACCACTTTGTTTTTGCTTACTTTACAAGTTGTTTTTTTTCCATATGTATTTTATTATTCTGTTTTCAAAAATTGATTTTAAAAATATAATTTATTAACAATTATATTTATTAAATTTGTGAATTCTTAAATAGTATTTTAATAATTTAATAAAATTTAATAATTAAATTTTAATAATTTAATAAAGAAAAATGTCTAACTTACTGCTAACATTAAAAATGGTCATCAATATATTGTTCTATTTATCTATAGAACTTAGAATTTTGTAAGCCATAAATAATGATCTTAGAAATGGAAGTAAAGAATGAAGATTCTAAGATCATCATATTTAAAATTTAATATTCACTTTTGCAATAAGTATGGTACAAAATACTATTATTATAAAATATTACCAGTTTGTTATTTTTAATGAGAACAATGTGGTCTTTCAAAATTTAGTAACTCAGATCAAAGAGCAACTATGTCAAAAGAAAAAATTCTCTTGATATCTTCCTTGCAACTGTCAAGTAAATTAACTCAATGCTAATTTTATCTAATGCCAAAAATGCAAATGCTAAAATAGCTTTCATTTTGAGATTAGTACTACTACATAAGATATCAAATTGAAACTATTGGTTTCTGGTTTGAATGCAATTTTGACCTTTTTTACATAAATATATGGATATGTATAATACAAAGAATTATGAATTCACTATAAGACTTGCTATAAAATTCAACATTTTCAACAATAAAACCAATTTTCAAAGACTATCGGATGGATGCATATAAATGAAATTGTGATATATTATATTGTGTATGATGCTTTGGATAACTTACAAATTTATGAATTTCTATCAACTCTCATTGCTAGTTATTGATTAATTGCAACTATGAATTATTGCACTGGCTATTTGTAATTATGGAAACTCAAGGTTTCATGGACTGAAAAAACTAGCCTGAGAGGCCAATCTTACATACACTTTACTTATAAATAAAGCAATAAAACTGGTATTACATTAGTATATGGANAAAAACATAAAAGAATTTTTCTATCAGAAATATAAAAGGCTGGAATTACAAGGGAGAATTTCAAAGTTCGGGGGAATACTATCTGATCAGTATATACTGGGTTGAACATTGATGTCAACGTCTCCCACACTCCGAAACGTTTCGAACTGTTGCCTGAAGATAAAGGAAGACCAATCGGTATTTGTTATTTTATATTGCTTCTTCTTGTGTTTGTTCAGTGAAGTGTTCGTTGTCCGATCATAAAAATCGTTCACAAAAGTGTTCATTATCCGATTTGTTCGTTAACTGATCACCCACTGTATTTAAAAAAAACAATTATACATCGTGTGTCTGAACAAATTATTTTTATTATTATTATTTTAAAAATAAGTTGTTTGCTAAAAATATTATTGACAATTTTAATAACTAATTTAATTAATTTAATGCATAAATTCCTATTAAAAAAATTACACATGGAAATAATCATCACTAAAATTTTTCACTTAGTTAATTAATAATTCATGTATATATAGTAAAATTTATTTAAAATGAAATACAATGATACAAGCCAATATTTTCTATTTGGCAGGTTTCAATTATAAAATGTTATGTTTTTATCAATTAACTCCCAAGAAGAGTTAGCTACAGTTGCTAAAAGGTCAATCACAATTCAAGCCAGAAGTTACCCCATTAATAATGATATAAAGTTTAGCTACTGTTACACTGAAAAACTTGGCTTTATTCAGATTGTGTTACACAATCAGTATCCAAATGTTTCCAATTTCTATATTAAACATTACAGATTTCTAGTTTATAATGTTATTTTAGACAACAAATTATTTCAATCTAAAATTTATTTTCTATTTACATATATTTTCTTTCTGTAAAGTCTATTTTTGACAGATTTTATTATATATACATTATATTAAAAGAAAACAAAACAAATAAACAAAGTATTCTAAGAATGATTTCTATTAAATCATACTTACAGGCATTTGTTCTTTTCCTGTAGAAGATATATAAACCTGTAAAATAGAGATGATAAGTTTTAATATACAAATAATTTTTTCCTTAAAAAAGTAAATTTTCCAAACTGTATTCTGCAGAAGTACAAATTTCAAGAAAAATTTCTGCCAATAAGATGCAATTTGGTTTTTTTATCTTTAAGAAATCTGATGATGATAAATACCCTGTTTGTAAATTGGTTAGTAATTTAGAATTCCTTTCATATTGTTTGTTTTTGTTCAAAGTTCTCTGATAGATAAATAAATAAAAATTACGATTTGCCAAATTTTTTAAGACAATTTCTTATTATTTCTGTAAACTGTTGCATACATTTTCTTTTATTTGAAATTTTTATAAATTTTGTTCTTAACATTTTATTACAGAAGGAGCTGCTGTGTAAACTGTAAACTGTTGCATACATTTTCTTTTATTTGAAATTTTTATAAATTTTGTTCTTAACATTTTATTACAGAAGGAGCTGCTGTGTTATAAAATACTCTGGATTCCTTTTTCTTTGGTATTCTAACTGGTGATGACAACTGTGATAACCTGTTGCTTACTTCTTTGCATAATATTTATTTTTTGTAATTTTACAAGATGTGTATACGTTTTCTTATTATTATTATTTTTTTTAAACTATTATTACTTTCTCATCTATTCATTTTTATTATGGCACCAGTCCATCACAGTTTGGTCAATGATTAATATTTTTATACATATATATTTTAATTGATATAAATTTTCATATATTACATATTTAATGTATTTGTATTTTAAGCAAATTGTACAATTCCATAAGAAATAAGATTCAGTGGAGCCTAAATAAATCTTGAACTCCACTGATTCTAGTAATATAGTTGTCTTCATAAGTTGTATTGTTCTGTTATCCTCATCGAGATAAAAATCTTGTACTAAATAAATTGAGAATAAAAATAATAATTTTTGAAATTTAATTGCTTTTTGTTCTTTCAATCAAGTTATTTCTGAAGGCAGAACTGAACAAACCTGAAAGTGTTTAAGACATTAAAAGATATTTAATCTTAAAAGGATTTATGTAGAAGTTGTTTAAAATTTAAATTGTGATTAAAACTGTCATTAATGGATTGAAGCATTAATAAACTTTATGTAATCACTCTTTGATGTCTGTTTTGTAAAAGTGTAATTTTGAACAATTTTTGTTATATATTTTTTTTAGTGAAGAAATTAAAAAACAAAATTAATATACTTTTATAATTATTATATTTCCTTGATTAAATCCTGGGATTTTACTTTTAAAATGTACTTATCTCTGGTGTTTATATAAGTGTAAACTCCAGTCTCAAAAAAGACTCAAGAGTCCTATTTGAGACGGGGGTTTACACTTGAGTAGGTAAAATTGGAAGAAACACCTTAATTACTCATACATATTTTGAGCTATCAAAACCATTTATTGACTGTATAACATTTGACATAATTACTGTCTTCATAGTTAACTTGATTCAGTGTCTTCCAATTCAGTTATTACAATGTCATGCATATATGTTTCAAAGCCATTAAAGAAATCAAGGTATTGACTACCATCTTCTCACAAAACTCACTATCTCTTTCCAATTGGAGTTTTCCTACTTACCATTTGGCATCTTGACTTTTGAAATAGTGCTAGCCAATGCTAGACAATTTAAAAGGGTAGAATTTTATTTAAACTTCTTACTTGCCGTTTTAGATTACATTAACCTATACAGTGCAGTACTTCAATATGTTTTCCATGCTTTTCAGCCTGGCATTTAATCAAGGAAATACAGTATTTATGTAATAGACATTATTCATAAATATTTATCTATAATATTACAGATAAATAAATAAAAAAAATGCTTAAAATATGAAAGAAAAAAATTTGAAATGATATTGATAACTTTTAGAAAAATTGTTATTTATTAATTAAAACAAAATATTTTTTAAATATGACATATCAGAACACAATCAACTCCAGTTTTTCAAACGATAGAAAATAAAATCACTTTTGTTTCTTTTGTTTTTTTTTTTTTCCTTTTCAGCTGAGTGAGAGGACAGAAATTAAATCAGTTTTTTTCTGAAATTTTTCAGAAGTCATTTTTACTGATATTAATTATACTAAATTATATAGTGCTAAAGTATCCAACAATGGATATTTTTACATATATATAGTACTAAAAGGAACAGAAATTTCATCAGTTGTTAGTGAATGTGGTAATTTTACTTCCCAGAATCTATACTTTAAATTTTTTTGTGTTATCAATGACACATCTTTTTCTTTATAATCAAGCAATTTAATATGACTGCTTCTTTTTGATGCTTACAAAAGTCATTAGTATTTCTTTATCCTGAAATATATTTTGGTAAGAATTTCTAACAACAAATAGAAAACATTTGTATGAAGAAAAGAGATTTTTCTATGACTATGTTTCTTAAAGTATGTTAGGATTGTGGGTATATTAAACAATTCATACATTTCTGAATTCTCGTTGTAGATTTTATGAGAGGTGAGCATAAGTTGCCTGCACATTACTAAAATATACATATAGTAATGTCTGCCTTTATACCTTAAAAAAAATTTAATTTCTCTTCATCTTCAGTGGCAATATCTATTAGATTGACTGATTTAGATTAGGAACATATTTGTCAAACCAAATCAAGTTATTTAGAAATAAAATTTAAGAAGTCTTGAAACATACTTTTGAAAATCTTAATTTGGAGGACATAAATTGTAAATTGACATAACTTATAACAAAATCAAATACAGAGAAATATAAAATTTATATGCAGTGGTTTTCATCAAACCAATCTGTTAATTTAAAATTGAATTTTTATATGACTAAAGAAAAAAAAACAATTTGGTTATGCTTATTGAATTTTTAATTTTATTAAGGTTTATATGTATATATGGTATAATATATGAATAATAATGAATTGTAGTTATTTTTTTTTTTTTAAATGTTCAATTTAAGTAGAAAGTTATAATTTACTTGTATTATTGTTTTTTCAGATAAACACTACTATTAACGTCCAGTTTGAGCACTTAAATTTATTTTTTAGCTTTCAGTGATAAAATGGAAAATTCTACATACTACAACATTGGATTACAGTTTATAGAAGCTTGTGTTGACATTGAATATTTAAGTTGGCTGATTTGGTTATTTACACCTGTAGTTGTAAGTGAAAGCTTTTAATTTTATATTTTTAGTATTCAGACACTATTAAAAAATCATTTTATTCCATTTGTTTTGCATAGAAATATCATTATGAATATAATTGAAATAAAATCCAACCACCATAATATTTTCTCTATTATTTCATTTTATTAAATTGGCTTAAACTTTATACACAAGCATCTATTAATTCACCTGCAGCAACTTCAGTTAATCTAAACCTTACATAATTGGGACAGGTTGCAGATGGATCACTGTATTGTCCTATCATGCAATGTCATTGAGTGAAATAAGCAATATTTTACCAAATAAATTGTTGAAAATTGTGACATTTTAAAAAATTATCTTCTAAAAATTCTAAATTACATTTTAAAACTAAAAGCATACCCTAATAATTGGCTGTTTTAAGCATTTAAGTTTTATTTACTAATTAAACACTCATTTTCAAATTAATCTGGAATAATATTTTTTATATAATTTTAATGATAAATACATAATTATATCAAAATTTTCTACACTGTGACATGTTGAAAATAGTGAATTAAAATTTATTTTTAAAATGGTCATAGATCATAATCAAGCAATACTGCTGGATTTTTATTGGGCTGATTAATTTCTAATATAATAGATAATTTGGACTAGATGTAGGTGGTTAAGTCACCGTTTCATGTTAAATGTAATCATTAGAAATAATTTAATTTAGACTTTTCTGGAAGAAAAGATCAGTCCAGACTGGAACTCAAACTGATAACTCCTATTTATCATACAGTTGCATTACCAGTTACACTACCTGGAACTCCATTCATTACTTCCAGATCAATTAATTTAAAATAGATAACCACTGATCGATCTTTCTATTGGGTCATATATTGGGTTTAGTTTTATATGTTCTGTAAAAGATTAAAAGTATGAAAGTAGTTTAAAATTTAAGTTTTGTTTAATTTAAATCTTAAAATTAGCTAAACTTTAATGGAAAATACAACAGAATATATAGTTTATCAAAGTTTATTGATAATTGAACTGTTGTAAATGAAAGTGATATATGTCAGTTTTCCAAGAACTATATTGCTTCTGAGGTTTTTGTTCTTGACAGCATCATTTACATGTTTATTGTAAAGAAATAGAAATACAGTAGAGTCCCCTACTCTGAACATCACTAATCCGAACATGTTTCAGTCAGTGGAGAGGAAATTTTTCAGCTTGCAAAATATACGTTTTTTTTGTATTTTCAGTTGAATTTAAATTTTGTATTTTCAGTTGAATTTGTATTAATGGTACAAAAATATTTAGAATTCCACAACAAAAAAATTGTATTTTATTGTAGTACTGTACTAATACTGTACAAAATTAATAAATTAGTGTTTGACATGGCCTATTAAAACAGCAGATCTATACTTTAATTACACACAAAAACAGAAACAAAAGTCGTTGATGGTGTTGGATCTATATAAACCGGACCTGTTTTACTGCTTACTTCTGCATTATTTCAATTATTCGGCTAATTGAACAGGGTTTAGTCCCAATTAGTTCGGACTAGCGGGACTCTACTGTAGTGTGAAAACATTAAAATGAAGATTAATAAAGTAAATATTGAGGAAGGATCTTGATATAGACTTTACCTTGATATAATATCTTCNAAAACGCTCTCGGTTAATTAATAGTGTTTTTAGTGATGACGAAGAAAACATTGTTTATTTTATATTAATATGTATCACTTAAAAAATTTTAATGAAGATATTTATCTTAATTATGAAAATACACTAGCATGTCTTTTAATTTTTGGAACCTAACCCTCCTTTTCTTATTAGTTCTTTGTTTCGTATAACACGGCAATTTTTTGGAACGTAACTACCATG